ATTTAGTGCAATATTTTTCTTACGAACAGATCATTTTTATGAAGATGGATTTTCAACTCACTGATTATAGAGTAGATGGAGTAGCTGAATTCTTTGAACGTCCAAAACAAATCCTGCTGTTTCTACTTGAAGTTTCCGAAGATCCCAGTAATCCAGATCTCGATAAGTTCAGAACCGATAGATACAAATTAATGAGTGAAGGCATCTTTGCTCTTAACAAATTTATGATGAAAACAAAACTCCCAACATGGAACGTTTGTAAAACATTAAGAATTTTCCTTGCTCAGGCATTTGGTAAGCTATTTTCAGAATATCTTTAAGCATGAATACATGATTTTATTTCATATATAATATACTATTTATTGCAAGTGATGAGCTTGAAATTGGTCAGATTATTTATATCAGTCCAGGATTATATCTATTTACACTATTTACAATACCTAATCTGATTATTCCAACTTCTGCTACTAATTTGGAACATGTTCCTCGACTAATTCGAACACTATTGTGTTTACGATTTAACATTGTTAAGAAAATTGAAATTCGAAAGAAGTGGTCAACTTTGTATCATGAAACCCATATCTAAATATGCTACTGGGCTTTCACTAGGCCGGCCTAGAACTGTTACTTTTTCAGAATTTCTACCTAAAGAGCCATCTAGTAAGGTGAATAGTAATATACAAAGGAATGTAACCAAAGGAAAAGGAAAGGGTCGAGGAAAAGGTCGTGATTCAGAAATTTAAAAGTTTGCAATTTTATTATAAATGTTACTATGAGTTTTTTTTCGCATAATTTACTGCAAACTTATTAATAATAAAATAATAAAGCATTCACATCAAGCTTGTAAATAACTTCGTATGCATTATGAATAATTGGCGTTGCGTATATGAATTTATTTTTTTATTTGTAAAAATTATTCTCACCGAAGCATTAGTCCATTTCCACATGGGATTTGAGGATGTATGCCAATCTTTCAGTAATCTTTTTTGAATTACAAGAAGAGGTAGTGAAAAAAAGTGTTCAATATATCAGCTTTAGGGCTCTGAGGTTTGGGTTTGGTCCGGTTTGGGTTCGGCTAAACCCGGACCCAAACCATGAATTTTTAAAAATGTCCAGAGTGCCTGATTTTGTAGATCATTACACAATTGATTAAAGATTTTTTTTATATGTTTTACAATTCACCACGGGTAGCAAAACGGAAAAGAGGAAAAACAAAGGGGAAAATATCTACTTAGGCCAACTATATAGCGCACTAGAGTAGAAAACTGGTCAAGCACCATATATCTAAATTAGATGAGACTTAGCGTACAGCCAAAACAAGTATACACATCTTTGGAATGATGACAAGATAAATAACAAGAAGAAAGCAACAAAAAAATACAAGTTTTTAATAAAGTTACAAGAAGAAAAGAAATGAGATATTAGAAAAATTTTAAGAAA